TTAAGTTAAATATATATTTATAATTTTAATAAATGACAAATTAAAAAGGCATGAACATTTTTTTGTATCGAAAAAATATCGAACCGTGACACCAAAGTATCGAACCGAACCGAACCGTGAATTTTGTGTATCGTTGCACCCCTAATATTTAGAGATTTAAAAATCTAATATGGGTTATGACAATGCAGTTTGAAAACAATCTTGTTTTAGGCTACGTCCACACGTACCCGGGTATTTTTGAAAACGCAGATTTTTCTATGCGTTTGCACCTTTTGTCCACACGTAAACGGCGTTTTCGGTCACTGAAAACGGAGATTTTTAAAAATGCCTGCCAGGGTGGATATTTTTGAAAACTCCGTTTTTGCATTTACGTGTAGATGGGAAAAATGGAGAAAACGCAGCATCAAAGGTGTGCACATTTTTTGACGTCACACTGTGCGCCACGTTATTGTTTCGGTGAAATGAATTTCTACAATACTGTTACTTGTACTTTCTGCAGTGTTTAAATGCTTACATACACACACACAGTTACTGTCCCTCCACACATACGACTCGGTTCTGCTTCTATGCCCCATCTTTGTTTACTTTTTTCCACCGAGGCTTAAATAAAGTCAAAAAAGCAAGGAAATGCGTGGCTTATTTAGCAAGTCACAAATGCCTAAAATTAGTGGTGCACTTTTCAAGTATTCCAGCGTTATTAAAGCTTACGTGCACTCCTGTGATCTTCTTTTATTAAGTACGCATTGGTGCTGCTTTAACTTTCTTAGATGGACGTCCGGCTTGAGTGAGCATTCAACTGAATAATTCTGTTTTTCAAATGGGACGCACCAACAGAGATCCCCTGCACCGTGACGTCAGTAAACACATTTTTCTGATGACTTTATGACATTCATTCTGTAAACTATAGTCATTGTTAGAGATTCATAGATTTACATTGAAAGGAAGCACAAGTCTAAATCAGTTATCATATCTCTTGCCATTTTCTACACATCTTCCTATTGGTGTAACCGGTTTGTGAGTGTTTTCTAGAAATTCTTGGCTGTTGCTCAGTGAAATCTAATGGCGACAAAGAAGTCAAAAAGTGAGTATTGAACCAAACACCTCCATGTGACCGTGAGGCGATTGACTTGGCACCCATTCGCCAACTAGCTGAGTGGTAGTAAAACTTGAAAAATGCAACACAAACTGGAAACAGAGGATGTGTGCATTCAAAATGTGCAACTTTTACTTAGATGGCAAATGGTCTCCATTTCTGGTTTGTCTTGCACTTTTCACAGTTTCACTACCAACGAAAGATTTGACTAGAGCCAGACTGATCGAGGATTTTTAAGACCAATACTGATATTTAGCGCTTTAAAAATCTGATATATCACTCACTGTTTTTTCTTTGACACAGACACACATATAGTTTCCTAACATTCGTTATGTCTTGTTGTTTATGAGTTTTTACAAATATAGAGTGACAGTGAAAAATAATCTTGTTTTTTTTATTTATTATTATTTATTTTAATATCGGCCAATTAACATCCACGATTGATGTAGCATCCCCTACCAATATATCAGTAGGGGAGGCTACATATGTTCTACTGGCAAGTGTTTGCTTATAAGTTGGTGTCTTCCATTCAAACTGTGGGTTCCAACATT